TTTATATAGTCATTGTCACGTCACACATCGAAAGACATACGTGTCACAAAGAGACAGTCACATCATAGTCATAACATGGAGTCCTTGTAGAGTCCTTGTACAGTCCTGCACGTAGGCCATATTGCTATCTCATACTAACAGGGTTGAGGTCTGGAGACTGGCTAGGCCACTCCAGGACTTTCAAATGCTTCTTACGGAGCCACTCCTTCGTTGCCCGGGCGGTGTGTTTGGGATCATTGTCATGCTGGAAGACCCAGCCACGTTTCATCTTCAAAGATCTCACTGATGGAAGGAGGTTTTGGCTCAAAATCTCACGATACATGGCCCCATTCATTCTTTCCTTAACACGGATCAGTCGTCCTGTCCCCTTAGCAGAAAAACAGCCCCAAAGCATGACGTTTCCACCCCCATGCTTCTCAGTAGGTATGGTGTTCTTGGGATGCAACTCAGTATTCTTCTTCCTCCAAACACGACGAGTGGAGTTTATACCAAACAGTTGTACTTTGGTTTCATCTGACCACATGACATTCTCCCAATCCTCTGCTGTATCATCCATGTGCTCTCTGGCAAACTTCAGACGGGCCTGGACATGCACTGGCTTCAGCAGGGGACACGTCTAGCACTGCAGGATTTGATTCCCTGTCGTTGTAGTGTGTTACTGATGGTAACCTTTGTTACTTTGGTCCCAGCTCTCTGCAGGTCATTCACCAGGTCCCCCCGTGTGGTTCTGGGATATTTGATCACCGTTCTCATGATCATTTTGACCCCACGGGATGAGATCTTGCGATCGAGGGAGATTATCAGTGGTCTTGTATGTCTTCCATTTTCTGATAATTGCTCCCACAGTTGATTTGTTCACACCAAGCTGTTTGCCTATTGTAGATTCACTCTTCCCAGTCTGGTGCAGGTCTACAATTCTTTTCCTGGTGTCCTTCGACAGCTCTTTGGTCTTGGCCATAGTGGAGTTTGGAGTCTGACTGAGGCTGTGGACAGGTGTCTTTTATACAGATGAGTTCAAACAGGTGCCATTAATACAGGTAACGAGTGGAGGACAGAAGAGCGTCTTAAAGAAGAAGTTACAGGTCTGTGAGAGCCAGAGAAGTGACCAAATACTTATTTTCCACCATCATTTACAAATAAATTCTTTAAAAATCCTAACAATGTGAATTCCTGGATTTTTTTTCACATTCTGTCTCTCACAGTTGAAGTGAACCTATGATGAACATTACAGACCTCTGTATTTATTTTAAGTGGGAGAACTTGCACAATTGGTGGCTGACTAAATTCTTTTGTGCACCCCTGTATGTGTGTGGGTTATACCCCCTGAACTTTTCCACATTTGTTTTTCTTTTTTTGTGAAAGAGAAACGTCAACACTTGACTTGTATTTGGCTCCATCCACCTCCCATCAACATTCTTTCCTGTCCCTGCTGAGGAAAAGCAGATGCTACCCCCTCCCTCTCACTGAGGATTTTTAATGTCTTCCACTCGTCCATAAAGGCCAGATCTCTCGGCGTTTGATCCCATGTCGGATGCACAGAAAGGGATGAGCTGTAACCACAGGCCTCTTGAATGTGGCCCAGTTTATACAAAGACAATGCAGCAGTAAAACGCTATAGTTGGTGTCAGTTGCTTCCCTCCGTTCAGAACATAGACTGTATACAGTGCCTTGCGAAAGTATCATTCGCCACATTTCAGGCTTCAAACATAAAGATATAAAATTTTAATTTTTTGTCATGAATCAAGTGAACAAGTGGGACACAATTGTGAAGTGGAACGAAATTTATTGGATAATTTAAACTTTTTTAACAAATAAAAAACTGAAAAGTGGGGCGTGCAATATTATTCGGCCCCTTTACTTTCAGTGCAGCAAACTCAGTCCAGAAGTTCAGTGAGGATCTTTGAATGATCCAATGTTGTCCTAAATGACTGATGATGATAAATAGAATGCACCTGTGTGTGATCAAGTCTCTGTATAAATGCACCTGCTCTTTGATAGTCTCAGAGTTCTGTTTAAAGCGCAGAGAGAACCATGAAGACAAAGGAACACACCAGGCAGGTCCGAGATACTGTTGTGGAGAAGTTTAAAGCCGGATTTGGATACAAAAAGATTTCCCAAGCTTTAAACATCTCAAGGAGCACTGTGCAAGCAATTATATTGAAATGGAAGGAGTATCAGACCACTGCAAATCTACCAAGACCCGGCCGTCCCTTCAAACTTTCATCTCAAACAAGGAGAAGACTGATCAGAGATGCAGCCAAGAGGCCCATGATCACTCTGGATGAACTGCAGATAACTACAGCTGAGGTGGGAGAGTCTGTCCATAGGACAACAATCAGTCGTGCACTGCACAAATCTGGCCTTTATGGAAGAGTGGCCATTTCTCAAAGATATCCATAAAAAGTCTCTTAAAGTTTGCCACAAGCCACCTGGGAGACACACCAAACATGTGGAAGAAGGTGCTCTGGTCAGATGAAACCAAAATCAAACTTTTTGGCCCCAATGCAAAACGATATCATTTTTGTCGTAAAAGCAACACAGCTCATCACCCTGAACACACCATCCCCACTGTCAAACATGGTGGTGGCAGCATCATGCTTTGGGCCTGCTTTTCTTCAGCAGGGACAGGGAAGATGGCTAAAATTGATGGGAAGATGGATTGAGCCAAATACAGGACCATTCTGGAAGAAAACCTGTTGGAGTCTGCAAAAGACCTGAGACTGGGACGGAGATTTATCTTCCAACAGGACAATGATCCAAAACATAAAGCCAAATCTACAATGGAATGGTTCACAAATAGACGTATCCAGGTGTTAGAATGGCCAAGTCAAAGTCCAGACCTGAATCCAATCGAGAATCTGTGGAAAGAGCTGAAGACTGCTGTTCACAAACGCTCTCCATCCAACCTCACTGAGCTCGAGCTGTTTTGCAAGGAAGAATGGGAAAGAATTCCAGTCTCTCGATGTGCAAAACTGATAGAGACATACCCCAAGCGACTTGCAGCTGTAATTGCAGCAAAAGGTGGCGCTACAAAGTATTAGCGCAAGGGGGCCGAATAATATTGCACGCCCCACTTTTCAGTTTATTTGTTAAAGTTTAAATTATCCAATAAATTTCATTCCACTTCACGATTGTGTCCCACTTGTTGTTGATTCTTGACAAAAAATTCAATTTTTATATCTTTATGTTTGAAGCCTGAAATGTGGCGAAATGTTGAAAAGTTCAAGGGGGCCGAATACTTTCGCAAGGCACTGTATATATTAACGGACAGAGTCACGCCTATCTCCGCCGTTCTAACTAATGGGACAAAAAATGTGCTCTAGTGGAGCTATCCAAAATGGCCGTGAGTGGTCCCGCCCACAAGAAAATTGTGAAAAAACGCATCTGTGCATGCGTCAGCCGGCGCAGCTCCATTCATTTGAACGAGAGACTTCAAAAATTCACAGCAAGTAAAGTGGACCAAAACACCCCCCTCAGCTTTGACACACATGTGGAACGGAGCTTTGGGCCAAGAGCCAACTTTTGGTCCATCCTGTAAAGACGTTTTCCAGAGGTCTGCCAATGCTATATGTTAGCATTGGCTAATTCTTATTCTGGGTCCACCCCCATCGGCCCGGGGTGGTATTGCAAGCATGTCAGCGCACGTCATTTTGGCCACTTTTGAGCTGGGACCCGCCCACACTGGTTCAGACGGAGACTGAGTTGAGATCCAGCGTCAGAGTGGGACAGCTCAAATATGCTGCTCAGCAGGGGGCGCTCTTTCACACCCGCGTAAAGAAAAAGGTGCGAATTAACTGCTGCTGCTCTGACCCCCACCTCCCGCTGCTCCCCGCACGTACATTTGGACCTGCGCAGTAGCCAAGAACAAACGTAAACAACAATGGCGGCGGGTTCACTAACTAGCTACGTGTGCTTCGAGCGCTGCACAGAGGATTCTTCTCCTTCCTTTGTCCAAATGAGACCACGCAAAGCTCTAGTTTCAGTTTCCATGTTCGCAGCTGCTGTTAAATGCAGAATGATGTTGGTTCTTTCACGTCTTGCAGAAGAAGTGGGTATACTGCTGGGGAGGGCTGGGGCTAGTGTGTGTCGTGTTGTAAAGTTCCTCTACCCCCTACTGGCCGGGCACTAGAACTACATCGTTTTTGATCCTCGTATGAACGCTGTGATATTTGCATAAGAAGCCTGGTTGTTTTTTGTTAATGGCTTGGTAACGTCTGCGCAGCGCCTCCGTATAAACGGGGCCTGTGGCCATGTCCACACGTAGCCGGGTATTTTAAAAACCGAATATTTCCTCCTCTCAGTTTATAAAACAATTTGCATCCACACATAACCGAACATGTGCGTTTTAAGTCCTCTGACGTCCTGCGTTGGGGAAAAACACAGAAGTGGGCGGAGCTTTGATACTGACTCCGGCACTTCTGTAGCGGCACTTTTACAGTCATAGAAGAAACTGAGGGTGAAGACATATGTTTACAAGCACTGACCCCTGTCCTCAGCCCTGGTTTAGTCCCGGCTTAGCTCCTGTTTTAGTTGTTTTGGAGCTTGAGTCTCTGTGATCACTTTGCTGCTCTCTGATGTGGAGCGAGGATCGCTGCTGTGAACCGCTCGCAGCAGTGAACAGTTTTTAAGCTGGTAAGATCCATGCTTCAGTGATCAGAGATCACACGTGTTGTTTGTTGTTGTTTTGGGGGCAGACTGTGACGTGCGAAAACACAAAACTCCAGTTATCTCTGTCTACACGCAAATGCATAAACAGAGTTTTCCACAATCTCCACTTTGCCCAGAGGTTTTTTATAAATTAGTTTATGATGCGTTGATCAGTGCTCTGCTTGTTTAAGCTGCAGGTTTGGGCAGACGGCCGAGTCTTGGTAGATTTGCAATGGTCCATACTCTCTGGTTGGCCTCATGTTGTGGTTGTGACTAAATGTGGAAACTTTCTTAGGGTATGAATATGTACGAAAAGCCTGCGATACAGATGTAACATGTTCCTTTTGCCCCAGTGTTCTCCTTCCCTCCACTGTCGGGCGCCATGTTCGGGACTCGGCTGCAGCACAAGCAGCTGTGGGACACTCAGGTGAGGGGGGGGGGCACAAAGGTGAGGGGGGGTTTTAGGTGGGGGGGGTGACACATGTTTGCTGATGTTCAGTGTTTGTGTTTCAGGTCCAGTCTCTGTCCTCTTGTGATGTCCCTGGGATCAGGTCAGTCACTAATGTAGCTCCTGATGACAGCTCTACAGAGACACTAGCTCCTGATGACAGCTCTACAGAGACACTAGCTCCTGATGACAGCTCTACAGACACTAGCTCCTGATGACAGCTCTACAGACACTAGCTCCTGATGACAGCTCTACAGACACTAGCTCCTGATGACAGCTCTACAGACACTAGCTCCTGATGACAGCTCTACAGACACTAGCTCCTGATGACAGCTCTACAGACACTAGCTCCTGATGACAGCTCTACAGACACTAGCTCCTGATGACAGCTCTACAGACACTAGCTCCTGATGACAGCTCTACAGACACTAGCTCCTGATGACAGCTCTACAGAGACACTAGCTCCTGACGACAGCTCTACAGAGACACTAGCTCCTGATGACAGCTCTACAGACACTAGCTCCTGATGACAGCTCTACAGACACTAGCTCCTGATGACAGCTCTACAGACACTAGCTCCTGATGACAGCTCTACAGACACTAGCTCCTGACGACAGCTCTACAGAGACACTAGCTCCTGACGACAGCTCTACAGAGACACTAGCTCCTGACGACAGCTCTACAGAGACACTAGCTCCTGACGACAGCTCTACAGACATTAGCTCCTGATGACAGCTCTACAGAGACACTAGCTCCTGACGACAGCTCTACAGACACTAGCTCCTGATGACAGCTCTACAGACACTAGCTCCTGACGACAGCTCTACAGACACTAGCTCCTGACGACAGCTCTACAGAGACACTAGCTCCTGATGACAGCTCTACAGACACTAGCTCCTGATGACAGCTCTACTGAGACACTAGCTCCTGATGACAGCTCTACAGACACTAGCTCCTGATGACAGCTCTACAGACACTATCTTCTGATGACAGTTCTACAGACACTAGCACCTGATGACAGCTCTACAGACACTAGCTCCTGATGACAGTTCTACAGACACTAGCTCCTGATGACAGTTCTACAGACACTAGCTCCTGATGACAGTTCTACAGACACTAGCTCCTGATGACAGTTCTACAGACACTAGCTCCTGATGACAGTTCTACAGGCACTAGCTCCTGATGACAGTTCTACAGGCACTAGCTCCTGATGACAGTTCTACAGACACTAGCTCCTGATGACAGTTCTACAGTGTTGTTTCTCTTTCTGTGCAGTATTTTTCCTTCTCCGGATCAGAACGTGTCCCAGTACCAGCCCTGCTCCCCCTCCGCACCTGGACTGGGTCAGATACCAGGTCTTGGGTCAGGACTTGGGTCTGGTCTGGGTCTGAACCAGGGCGGCTCTCTCCCTGACCTCACCAACCTACAATTTCTCCCTCCAGTCTCCAACTCAGACTACACGCATCAGCTTCCTCAGGCTCTGATGCACATGGGTGAGGACTGGGACCAGGACTGGATCGAGACCGGGATGGGACTAGAGCTGAACAATTTTCATATCAAAACAAATATTTTCCAATATTGTTTTGCATTTTCCTCAGGTTTGTCATCGTCTCTCAGTAACCCGTCTCTCTGTTCGTCTCCGCGTCGACGCCCTGCTCCCATCAGCCCCCTCACACTGTCACCAGAGCAACAGAGAGCCCCGCCCATTTTACAGGTAACTCCACCCCTTTTTGCCCATTTTAACAGAGGAAACACCAGCGGACCTAAAGCGGAGCCTTTGGGAACTAATCTAACCCCGAGGTACAGGCGTTCTCCAGGACCCAAAACCAGCATAATACAGGACTAGACCTGGACTGAGGCAGAACAAGACCTGGACTGAGGCAGAACTAGACCTGGACTGAAGCAGAACTAGACCTGGACTGAAGCAGAACTGGACCTGGACTGGACCAAGACTGAACCGGGCATTTGTCTTCTCAGGTCTCTCCTCTGGACTCCGCCCTTCCCCGGGAGCCTCCTCCCCCTTACCCCATTTACTCACAATCCCACACTGCATCAAGACCGGCTCTCAGCAGCCCAGTCCATCAGGGAGCGCCATTGCAGAGACACGCCCAGAACCAGGTCCAGAATCAGGTCCGGAACCAGGTCCAGAACCAGGTCCATAACCAGGCAGGCTACAGCGACGGACAGGTGCGACCCGAGAAGTGCTGACGTAATCCTATGACTCTAGAGAACAGGCTCGATTGGGTCAGAATCTTTCTGTGTCGCTGTGACGGGTCAGATTCTGATGAGAATTATGGACATCTGCTTTAGCTGATGTTTCCAACTTCAATTCATCGCATTCTGTATTTTCTTTATCAGCACAAAAACATGACGACTCTCAAGACCCCTGACTTTCATGAACCATGACCCTGAAGCCTCTTGAACTCTGACCTCTGACCCTCTGTGTTTCAGGTGACCTCTGACTTGTTCATGGATCCACAGTTTGGAGCGAAAAGTTTGGATTATCAGGTACTGTTAGGTTGTAATTACATTTTCAATTAAGTTAAAGTTAAACACTTTAACTGATCAAAATTCTACTGCTAACATTTGATGCTAAATGTGTTGAGATGATGTGGAGCAATTTTGAGACGATTCGGTGAAACGATCGAGGCTGGTTCAATAAGATAGATATTTTATTATTTTCCCCATTGACACAGAATGGGAAGTGTTTGTCATCGCCATGGCAACACAGTGAAAAATAAGTCATACACCTGTTAGGCAACATCATTAGAAAGCATATTAACTGCCGAACAACAGATGTTATCTTCTTGGACTTTACAAAGTTGTTGATATGCCAACACAAATCAGAGAATCAAACGGTTCAAACAATTGATTATCCAGTATCAGTATCTTCCAAGAATAATCTGATTTTTGTCTTTTGTCTTGCAGAACTTTGGTTTCCGTGATGATGGTGTAAACTGTTCATTGGATTCATCATCGCTCTTTTATAACCCAGCGCCTCAGCAGGGTCTCCATGGAAACGCCTCTTCTATGCAAATGTGCCAAGGCTCCACCTCCAGAGCCCCGCCCATGCTGTTCCCCCAATCAGCTCTGCCGAACATCATCCTGACAGGTGACCCCTCCCCCTTTGCTTAACCCCTTCCTATGACTCCTCCCCTTCGATCCATCCATCCATTTTCTTCCGCTTCATCCGTTGCCGGGTCGCGAGGGCAGCTGACTAAGCCAGGGATTAAAGAGTTCCGTCTAGGTGACGGATTTCCGTCAAATGAAATTGGTCTGGAAAAAAAAATATATATATATATAATGATAATAATACACACAATGAAATGATTATAAAAATAATATATAGTAATACATATACGTGTGAATTTGTTATATATATATATATATCGATGTATAATAATAATTTGAATATAATTGTATTTATATGTATATAGAAATAATAAGTAATATAATGACGAGTGGGCCTTGAACGTGCCGTGACCACATGAGCGCTCCGCAAATGAATCAAGGCAATGGGACGTAGCTGAGCTCACGCGCAAATGAAGACGCGATGAAGTTAGCATAGGTAACACGGAGGTGAAAGTTTCTGGAAACTGCACGGAGCTTTTGAAAAGGAGAAGAGGAGGAAAATTGAAACTCGAACGGAGCAATAACAGCAGCAGATCCGCGGACTGGTAAGCTGGGCGCGTAATAGACGAAAGGTAATTAACGTTTACCAAACGCAATGCTATTTTACTTAACGGAATGTACAAAACGGACTTTGCTGCGACTGGGAATGGGGACAAACATGTCTTGGTGAGCTTTTGATATTGTCTTGTTTGCGATCTTCTTGCAAAACTCAGCGTGATGTAAAAGAGCCAATCAACGAGTCATGGTGCGAAAAGATGAAAGTGGCCGGTGCTTGTTCGTACTTTGCCATAAAAAATTGCATATATGGGAGTAATGAGAAAAAAGTTTTGATTCGCCACCAGCTCAAAACTGCGCACAAGGCAGCTGTTTGTGCACTTTCCCACACTTCATCTTTACCTGGTGCATCAGCAACAACTGACACTAGGCTTGCTCTGGCGGACCGTGTCTGTGGCTTTATTGCAGAAAATAACGTTCAGAATATCACTACCGCTGGTAGATTTATTTAAATCATTTGCAGTTGATCGAAGTGCACTGTGCACTCAAACTTGATAGGGAAACCTTTTTCTTAAATATTGACGTGTCCACAAACAAATGTGGACAGAATTTTATTGTCCTTTTGCGATATTTTGACGAGGACAGAGCCAAAGTGTTGACGCTCCATATCGCCTCAAGTAAAGCTACTCTCACTAATATTCTGTCAAAAAGTTGACTCGTTGCTTGATCCACTTATATTTCATATCAAAATACACTGTATATCTTTGAAGAATTCATTTGAGATGTATTCAATATACAATCTATTATACAATAATATATTGTAATTAAAAATATAACTTGGTCCTGCATATTACTGTGATTTACATGTGATAAATTTCCATGCAAAAATGTTCAGTCAAATCTTTTTTTTTTGCTTTAACCCCTGGACTAAGCAGAGACGCCCAGACTTCCCTATCCACGCACACTTCCTCCAGCTCGTCCGGGGGGACCCCAAGGCGTTCCCAGGCCAGCTGAGAGACATAGTCCCTCCAGCGTGTCCTGGGTCTTCTCCGGGGTCTTCTCCCGGTGGAACGTGCCCGAAACACCTCCCCAGGGAGGCGTCCAGGAGGCATCCTGAACAGATGCCAGAGCCACCTCAACTGGTTCCTCTCGACGTGAAGGAGCAGCTGCTCTACTCCGAGCTCCTCCCGTGTGACTGAGCTCCTCACCCTATCTCTAAGGGAGCAGCCACTCTGGGGAGGAAGCTCATTTCGACCGCTTGTATCCGCGATCTCGTTCTTTCGGTCATTACCCACAGCTCATGACCATAGGTGAGGGAGGGAACGAAGATTGACCAGTAAATCGAGAGCTTTGCCTTTCGGCTCAGCTCCCTCTTTACCACAACGGTCCGATACAGCTCTGACTGCAGACGCTGCTCCCTCTTTACCACAACGGTCTGATACAGCTCTGACTGCAGACGCTGCTCCCTCTTTACCACAACGGTCCGATACAGCGACCGCATCACTGCGCACGCTGCACCGATCCGCCTGTCAATCTCACGCTCCATCCTTCCCTCACTCGTGAACAAGACCCCGAGATACTTGAACTCCTCCACTTGAGGAAGGACCTCTCCACCCACCTGCAGAGGGCAAGGCACCTTTTTCCGGTCGAGCACCATGGCCTCGGATTTGGAGCTGATTCTCATCCCAGCCGCTTCACACTCGGCTGCAAACCGCCCCAGTGCATGTTGCAGGTCCTGGTTTGTTGGAGTCAACAGGACAACATCGTCCGCAAACAGCAGAGATGAAATCCTGTGGTCCCCGAACCGGACCCCCTCCGGCCCCTGGCTGCGCCTAGAAATTCTGTCCATAAATACAGTGAACAGAACCGGTGACAAAGGGCAGCCTTGGCGGAGGCCAACATGCACCGGGAACAGGTCTGACTTACTGCCGGCAATGCGAACACAGCTCTGGCTCCGGTCATACAGGGACCGGACGGCCCTTAGCAGAGGACCCCGGACCCCGTACTCCCGAAGAACCCCCCAAAGGACACCCCGGGGAACACTGTTGAACGCCTTCTCCAAATCCACAAAGCACATGTGGACAGGTTGGCCGAACTCTCATGACGAGTATCCGATGTAGAGTATAGAGCTGGTCCAGTGTTCCGCGGCCGCCCCTTCGATCCGACCGCTGTATTTCATTATTGTAGTTGTTCTGTCTCTTCTGTAGTTTCAGGATTCCATCTTTAACTTCCTCTATGATCTGTCCCACAGACGACTCTGGAGGCTTCTCTCTGGACGAGGAGCTCTGTATAGAGCCGCTCACTCTGGATGGACTGAGTATGCTCCGTGACCCCGAGCTGGTGCTACCTGACCCTGCAGTTGAGGAGTCCTTCCGCAGTGATCGCCTCTGAGACTGGATTACAGAGAAGAAGAGATTGGACTACACACGCAGAAGAAGAGATTGGCCACCTCTGAGACTGGACCACAAGAGTTTGCGGCGGTGGTCACTGATCTTATTTGTCACTTAGTTTTGGTCATACTAGTGGGACGGGTAAGAGTGAGGTCACACTGGTGGGATGGGGTAAGAGTGAGGTCACACTGGTGGGATGGGGTAAGAGTGAGGTCACACTGGTGGGATGGGGTAAGGGTGAGGGTCACACTCTTGATGATTGGTGTGTTTTGGTGAAACTGGGTGTGGCACAAAGGTACATTGGCCAATCAGGAAGTGTAGTGTAGGTTCTGCACATAGAAATGTTCATTCAAAGACAAAGCCAATCAGTGACCAGCCTCTCAAACAGGGACATGACGATGGTAAAACTGCTACATTCAACTAGCGGCCATCTTGGAACCTTTAAAAACGAGAGACTCTAGAAACCACCGTCAGAGAAGAGTTTGTAAATATAATGTTATTGGAGCAGCAACGTTGGTTTGAAGTTTTGTACATTACAAAAGACGTTTATATTTCCATGAGACGCGTCATGGCGTCATGACTGTATTTTGATGTAAAAAGGGCAGAGTTTACAGTTTTTAACATTTTTACAGATTTGATTCAAATGGAAAATTTAAATGTAACATAGTTTTGCACTATTTAGAGTTCTTCGTAAAAATGTCCTTAATCCCACAGACTGAAGGGAAAGCAGTTTATATGTGGGACTTCACCTGTGAAGTCTGGACTACAGCTCCCATCATGCACCTGTACAGTCTGGACTACAGCTCTTACCATGCACTTCTACAGTCTGGACTACAGCTCCCATCATGCACCTGTACAGTCTGGACTACAGCTATTACCATGCGCTTCTACAGTCTGGACTACAGCTCCCATCATGCACCTGTACAGTCTGGACTACAGCTATTACCATGCGCTTCTACAGTCTGGACTACAGCTCCCATCATGCACCTGTACAGTCTGGACTACAGCTATTACCATGCACCTGTACAGTCTGGACTACATCTCCCATCATGCACCTCTGTATTTTCATTAAACAAAAAGTTACTCTTAAAATTTGTTTTCAGTTATTTTGACTTAAATTATAGACATTAGGGCTCTGGACTTCCTGCTAACCTCACCACCTCCTGCTGACCCCACCTCACCTCCTCCTGCTGATCCCATCACCTCCTGCTGACCCCACCTCACCTCCTCCTGCTGACCCCACCTCACCTCCTCCTGCTGACCCCATCACCTCCTGCTGACCCCACCCCACCACCTCCTGCTGACCTGACCACCTCCTGCTGACCTCACACCACCTCATGAATGTTCAGATGCTGCAATAAACCTGTATAAAGGATGTCCTGAGCTCCGCCTCTGATTGGCTGAGCAGCTGAACTCCGCCTCTGATTGACTGAGCAGCTGCAGCTGTGCACAGATCATCAGGTAAATATTTGAAACGCTGTGTTTTAGTCCAAAGTGTCTGCTGTTCATATCATTAAAGCTGGGGTACGTAACTTTCAGACCACACAACAGAACTCTGTCATAGACACTAGTACATGGCTCTATCATTATAATGATTATAATTATACTATTTACTTCTATCACTAGTTTTCTCTCTCAGCCCAAAGAGTGAATTAGTGACAGAGAAACACATAAGACTCTGTGAAACCACATGAGACTAAAGTTACGTACCCAAGCTTTAAACCTGCTGCTGTTTGTCCAGGACCACGATGACCACTCACGGCTCCGTGGCTCTGACGGACTGGGACCTGGACCAAGAACTGAGGCTGCAGACCACAACGGACCAAAGTGAGAGGACCAGAGAGAGGGAACCGCAGAGAGAGGGGACCACAGAGAGAGAGAGAGAGAGCACCACAGAGAGAGAGAAGACCAGAGAGAGAGAGGACCACAGATAGAGGGGACCGCAGAGAGAGGGGACCTCAGAGAGAGGACCAGAGAGAGAAGACCAGAGAGAGAGAGAGGACCACATAGAGAGAGAGGACCACATAGAGAGAGAGGACCACAGAGAGAGGGGACCACAGAGAGAGAGAGAGAGAGAGAGCACCACAGAGAGAGAGCACCACAGAGAGAGAGACCAGAGAGAGAGAGGACCACAGAGAGAGGGGACCGCAGAGAGAGGGGACCGCAGAGAGAGGGGACCTCAGAGAGAGGACCAGAGAGAGAGAGAGAGAGAGAGAGGACCGCAGAGAGGACCAGAGAGAAAGATAGAGGACCGCAGAGAGAGAGAGGGGACCACAGAGACAGAGGACCACAGAGACAGAGGACCACAGAGACAGAGGACCACAGAGACAGAGGACCACAGAGACAGAGGACCACAGAGACAGAGGACCACAGAGACAGAGGACCACAGAGACAGAGGACCACAGAGACAGAGGACCACAGAGACAGAGGACCACAGAGAGAGAGAGGACCACAGAGAGAGAGAGGACCACAGAGAGAGAGAGGACCACAGAGAGAGAGAGGACCACAGAGAGAGAGAGGACCACAGAGAGAGGGGACCACAGAGAGAGAGAGAGCACCACAGAGAGAGAGGACCACAGAGAGAGGGGACCTCAGAGAGAGGGGACCACAGAGAGAGAGAGAGGACCGCAGAGAGAGGGGACCACAGAGAGAGAGAGCACCACAGAGAGAGAGAAGACCACAGAGAGAGAGAGGACCACAGAGAGAGGGGACCACAGAGAGAGGACCAGAGTGAGAGAGAGAGAGAGAGGGGACCGCAGAGAGAGGGGACCACAGAGAGAGGACCAGAGTGAGAGAGAGAGAGAGAGGGGAACGCAGAGAGGACCAGAGAGAAAGATAGAGGACCGCAGAGAGAGAGAGGGGACCACAGAGAGAGAGGACCGGAGAGAGAGAGGACCACAAAGAGAGGACCTCAGAGAGAGAGGACCTCAGAGAGGGGACCACAGAGAGAGGACCACAGAGAGAGAGGACCACATAGAGAGAGAGAGAGGACCACATAGAGAGAGAGAGAGGACCACATAGAGAGAGAGGACCACATAGAGAGAGAGGAGCACCACAGAGAGAGAGGACCACAGAGAGAGAGGACCACAGAGAGAGAGGACCACATAGAGAGAGAGAGAGGAGCACCACAGAGAGAGAGGACCACAGAGAGAGGAGGACCAGAGAGAAGACCACATAGAGAGAGAGAGGACCACATAGAGAGAGAGAGGACCACATAGAGAGAGAGAGGACCACAGAGAGAGAGGACCACAGAGAGAGGAGGACCAGAGAGAAGACCACATAGAGAGAGAGAGAGGACCACATAGAGAGAGAGAGAGAGGACCACAGAAGGTCCCTGAGCTGTGCCTCTGTTTCAGACTTTGTGTCCGACTCGGTGTATCTGCTCAGACCTTCATCCAGATCCAGAACAGAGGATTTTTCCTGGTCTCAGACCCCAGGTAGGACCTAAATCTGTCCAGAACCGGTCTCTAGTCCCGGCCTGTAACCAGTCTTAGTCCCAGTGTGTAACCAGTCTCTCTCAGACTCCTTCAGACCAAACCCGTGGCTCATGGTGGATCCAAACATCGTGTGTCCGCTTCACTACCCCCTGAGGACCACACCCCCAGAGTCTCAGACCACGCCCCCACACTACCATGATGCACCACTCCTGCTGAAGGAAAAGGTCCCATCCTTGTCGACCAATCACCATGCAGTATGTCCGCAAAGCAGGAAGCAGTCTGAGGGACCACAAAGAGTGTGACATCACCTCACGCCCAAAAGAGGGCCAGAGGGTCACTGGTCTCTCTCTCTGGTCTATCACTGGTCTATCACTGGTCTCTCTCTGGTCTCTCTCTGGTCTCTCTCTGGTCCTGTAACATATACAGAGTAAGAATGTGACATCACCTCATGACCCGCAGAGGACGAGGTCATCATTAGACCCTCCTTGTTCTGAGGTCAAACTGAACCTTGTGATTGTTCTGCAGCTCAGCTCTCTGCTGCCCCCTGTGGCCAGAGTCAAGAAACCACAGCGAAAACCACGAGGCTCCAAACGGGTCAGAGACTCACACACAGACTCACACACAGACTCAGACACACTCACAGACACACACACACACACACTCACACTCACAGACACACACACAGATACAGACACACTCAGACACAGACACATACACACATACATATACACACAGTTTGTCGTTCATCTCTCATTTTGATGTTTCCAGTCCGACAGGTGTGCATCAGTCTGTGGTTCTTGGCTCCGCCCCCCGGTGAATTACAGCCTCCTGATTGGTTTAGCTCTGAAATACAGCGGCAGCCTCAGAGTGCAGCAAATCTACAACTTTACCAGGTTCGACCGTTTATTTATGAGCTTTGCATGTTTTCACATCCTCCAGAATGATTCTTGTTTTTGCTCGAATGAAATCATGAAGAAAACACTTGTCGCTCATTGTTGGAGTCACCTCTGTCAAAAAAAGACGGACTGAGGCTGTAGACCCAGGACTGAGGCTGTAGACCCAAGACTGACCGAAGCTGTAGACCCAGGACCGAGGCTGCAGACCCAGGAGTGATGCTGTAGATCCAGATGAGGCTCGGTGCAGCTCTTGAGTCCAGACCGGATGAGAGCAGTTCAGTTGTAGGTATGAGGCCGGGTTCAGAGGTCCCATCATAGACCAGACTTCAGCTGAAGTCATGATGACAACAACAAAGGACAGTGAAACTCAGAGCTTTGGACCACTCTGTGGATCATAAATGTTGCTCTGCTGGAAGTGTCCCTGGAGCACGGTGGGGTCACATCAGCACATGGAGGATCACCTCCAGGACCGCTGTAAGGTCCTCACAGAGGCTGGTCCACTGGACTCGACTGTAGACCACTGTGTAGAGTGGTAGAAGATGAGGGCCTTATTATATTTCTGAATATGCTATAATTAAACTAGTCCTGGCTCATCTATTAAAGGTCCTATATCACACTTTTCTTCATATTTCACACTCAGTCCTATGCACATGTGTGATATTAATGTGTATGATACACCACACAACAATCAAAGCTTGTGAGATTAGAGCCATCTCTTGTGCAGAGGTGACGTCACCTCGACTCAAACGAGCTGATCCAGAGTCTGCTCCTCTGCCTGTGAGCCCGCCTCCCCCCACCCGCACGGTGACGTAGCATCACGCTTTTGTCGTTTATCACCTGTACTTAGTCATTTCATACATAAGAATACACTTTTTCAAACAATGACAATCCGTCACATCGAGCCCTATGTCCTCGATGCACAATCAGACCCTAGTTATTTAGTTTACAGAAGTATACAGCGAGTTAGCGTCACTACTTACAGATCGAGGGGGTCCGAGTTACGTCTTTTACCGTGGGAATAACGTGTTTCCAGATCAGCTTTTGAGTAAGTCCAGTTCCATTGTCCCTGTAGTTCTGGAACAGTCTCAGTGAAGTGTCGCAGATGAACCGGTATTATAATAGATCCATGAAATGAACAGATGAAAAAAGTCGAGCCGCTTTCTTCCTCTTAGGGCCAAATAGTGTGTCACATATTTACACCCATAACACACTTCATTCAAGTTGACGTGATCCTAACACTTTTAGTTTCTGACAAAAGCATAAAAACAGCAGCTCTATGTGGTGTCCGCGAGACCAGACCACAGACGCTGGACTCGGGAGCCTGTGCGCTCTGATTCGCTGTTTTGATCCGTCAATCACCTCCCGCCGGCTTTTAATTTATTTTAATTTTTATTATTTTTGACAAAAAACAGCATACTAATTGTGTATTGTTTACCCCGTTTTGACAAAAGTATTTAACAACTATTTTAAATACAAAGCAAACGGGGTCATGTGCGTCATCAGTGTGGTTTTTGTCACTGAAGTGGACCCGAGCGTTTCTGTGCCTCACGCTGGGGAAGGAGACAGATTGCTCTCTTACAAAAGATTGACAGAATCAATGAATAAACTACTGTGGGCTTGTGTATGAAGGCCAAATAGCATTGTAATCATGTTTAAAGCAGAGAAAAGTCAAAAACCGTGATATGGGCCCTTTTAATGTGCGCTTTTGTGTGTTTGTGTGTGTGTGTGTGTGTATGTATATATATTTTTTTTAAATTGTCCACTCACCTTTAGCCCTCCGCGGGCGGTTATCCCTCTCTAAGCTCGGGTCCTCTACCAGAGGCCTGGGAGCTTGAGGGTTCTGCGCAGTATCTTTGCTGTTCCTAGCACTGCACATTTCTGGACCGAGATGTCCGAGGTTGTTCCAGGATCCGCTGTAACCTCTTCTAGCTTCGGGGTCACTGCCCCGAGTGCACGATCACCACGGGCACTACTGTGACCTTTACCCTCCAGGCCCTCTCCAGCTCCTCTCTGAGACCTTGGTATTTCTCAAGCTTTTCATGTTCTTTTTTCCGGATGTTACCACCGAATTGCCACGTCCACCACCACGGCTGTCCTCTGCCCTTTGTCCACCACCACAATGTCAGGTTGGTTCGCCATTACCATTCGGTCGGATCTTTGCACGCTCATTCTCCACCACCTTTGGAGGAGTTTCCCACTTAGACCTTGGGGTTTCCAGCCCATACTCTGCACAGATGTTTCTGTACACTATGCCACCACTTGGTTATGGCGTTCCATGTAGGCCTTCCCTGCAGCATCTTGCACCCTGCAGTTATGTGTTGGATCGTCTCAGGTGCCTCTTTGCACAACCGACACCATGGGTCTTGTCTGGTGTGGTATATCTGGGCCTCTATCGCTCTGGTGCTCAGTGCCTGTTCCTGTGCAGCCATGATGAGTACCTCTGTGCTGTCCGGTAGGCCAGCCCTTTCTAGCCATTGGTAGGACTTCTTGAGATCAGCCACTTCTGTTATGCTCCGGTGGTACATGCCGTGTAGGGGCTTGTTCTCCCATGATGGGCTCTCCTCCAGCACCTCCTCATCTCGCCACTGCCTGAGACATTCACTGAGTACGTCATCCGTTTTGGCCTTCTCCATGATGTAGTTATGGAGTTTGGATGTTTCGTCCTGGACAGTGGCTCTCACACTCACTAGTCCTCGGCCTCCTTCTTTACGGCTTACGTACAGTCTCAGGGTGCTGGATTTGGGATGGAACCCGCCATGCATGGTAGGGAGCTTTCGAGTTTTAACATCCGTGGTCTGAATCTCTTCCTTTGGCCACCTGATTATTCCTGCAGGGTATCTGATCACTGGCAGGGCGTAGATGTTAATTGCCCGGGCCTTGTTCTTGCCATTGAGCCGGCTTCTTAGGACCTGCCTTACTCGCTGGAGGTATTTGGCAGTTGCCGCTTTCCTCGTCACCTGTTCGAGGTTGCCATTTGCCTGTGGTATACCGAGATACTTGTAACTGTCCTCAACGTCTGCTATTGTTCCCTCTGGGAGTGAGATCCCTTCTGTGTGGACTACCTTGCCTCTCCGAGTCACCATCCTGCTACATTTCTCGAGTCTGAATGACATCCCGATGTCATGGCTGTAGATCCTGGTTGTTTGGATCAGAGAGTCGATGTCTCTCTTGCTCTTGGCGTACAGCTTGATGTCATCCATGTAGAGGAGGTGACTGATCTTTGCTCCGTTCCTGAGGCGGTATCCATAGCCAGTCTGGTCAATTACTTGGCTTAGAGGGTTGAGGCCTATGCAGAACAGTAGTGGGGACAGAGCATCTCCTTGGTAGATACCACATTTGATGGTCACTTGTGCGAGCGGCCATTTGCCTCAAGGGTGGTCTTCCACATTCCCATCGAGTTTGCAACAAAGTCCCTTAGGGCCCTGTTGATATTGTACAACTTCAAGCATTCCATGATCCATGTGTGTGGCATTGAGTCGTAGGCTTTCTAGTAATCAATCCAGGCTGTGCACAGGTTGGTGTGTCGTGACCGGCAGTCTTGGGCGACTGTTTTGTCAACCAGGAGCTGGTGTTTGGCTCCTCTGGTGTCCCTACCAATGCCCTTCTGTGCTGTGCTCATGAATTGTTCCATATGCCCACTTATCTTAGCCGCAATGATGCCTGACATGAGCTTCCATGTTGTGGAGAGACAGGTTATTGGCCGGTAGTTGGAGGGGACTGCACCCTTGACAGGGTCCTTCATGACTGTTCGCCCTTCGGTTAGCCATTCTGGGTGAGTCCCATCTCTCAGCAGCTGGTTCATTTGTGCTGCTAGGCGCTCATGGAGTGATGTGAGTGTCCTTAGCCAGTAGGCATGGACCATATCAGGGCCAGCTGCTGTCCAGTTTTTCATACCTGAGACTCTTTCTCGGATGTCTGCCTCTGTGATGGTAACTGAGTTCTGTTCTGGGAGGTGGCTGGCTCCTCTCTCAGGGACACCAGCCATTGTGCACTTCTGTTATGTGCTGCATCCTTCTCCCATATGTTCTTCCAGAACTGTTCAGTTTCCAGCCTCGGTGGGTCTGCTCCCCCTTTGCACCTCTCTGGGCCTCTGTTAATTGACTCACTTCTCTCCGAGCCGCCTTGATCTTAGCCTCCAACCGTCTTTTCCATGGTGGGTATTGTCCATGGCTCCCATGGACTTATATATATATATAAACTTCACAAATAAAGTTTATATATTTATCTGTGAATAAACTTCACAGAACCCCTTAACAGGTCTGTCAAGGGAGCCACGACAGACGATAAATTCTCACAAAAACAACGATAGTACCCCACCATACCCAAGAACCTCATTAGCTCTTTCTTTGTAGTAGGTGTCGGAAAATCATCAATTGCACGAACTTTAACGCGCACAGGTCTGACGGGGAATTTACACAGTAGGCATAAACAGCGCGTACGCGTTAACTGCGTGCTCTCCGCGCGTAACATTTTTTTGGAGTATCTACACAGGCCGTGTGCGCGGGTCCGCGTCTTCTGAAGCTGTCCCTGTGTAGTCTATGAGAAGTGTAGAGGACAGTACGGGCCAGAGGACTGATGTAGAGCAACACAAATCACATCCATGTGTTTGTCCTCATGGTCTCTGTGCGCTGGTTTGGCCAGACGTGAGATTTTATGAAAGAAAAAAAACGATGTCCAGAATCACTGTAAAACCTGCTGCTCCTCCTGCTGATGTTTAGACACAAGTGCTGTGTGTGCGTAGATGCGATCTAGAGCCAAGGACCGCTAGAAAAATCATGTTTTACATGAGATTTCAATGGGAGACGCGTTGGTGCGCGCACAAAATTAGAAATCCATCCTAAATTAGAGCGCAGCTTCGCGTCATACGTCCGTCATACGCGCGTATAACGCTAGAAGTGTAAATATCATCATAGGTTAACATGGAAAAAAGTTACGCGCGTCTGCTGCGCGTATAACGCGTACGTGCTGTAACGCGTGATGTGTAAATTATATATATATATATATATATATATATATAATTTCACTGAGTTCCTTTCATGACTATTGACTGTAGACCCGCACCAGGCTGTGTCAGGGCTGTTTGACCAATAAGGAGAGAGATGGTGCTGGGCCACATGACCTAAAGGTAAATGTGCACTTTATTAATCCCCGTAGGGCACTTAATCCTCTGCATTTGACCCATCCTGATGCCACGAAGGCTTACGTCAAGAGCAGTGGTCGCCGTAGTAACAGCGCCTGGGAACCCATCTCCAGATGTTGATGCTCGACTTGGTCAGGACCAGAGCTGGAGGATTTAACCTAGTGAGCATGTTTTTAGTGGTAGGGGAAACCGGAGCACCCGGAGGAAACCTACACAGACACGGGGAGAACATGCAAACTCCACTCAGAAAGGCCGTGTTCCGACCAGGATTCGAACCCAGGACCTTCTTGCTGAGAGGCAGGAGTGCTATCCACTCAACCATCGTGCCCCCCTCCACAGTCCCCGGACCTGAACCCAGTCCAGATGGTTTTGGACCTGAACCCAGTCCAGATGGTTTTGGACCTGAACCCAGTCCAGATGGTTTTGGACCTGAACCCAAGCCCCGGCGATTCAAGATGGCGCCCTATTCAAATGAATGGTTGTGCTCAGTGGCGCTTTGTGACGGCATGGGGGCTGAAAAGATTAGCGGAAGTCACCTGGAACTCGCAAAGATCTATGGGAAACTTTGGGCATCGTCTGGTCCTCCCGGTTCTGCGCAGTGGACGATCTCCCATAATGCGTTGCGTCAAACACGCGTGTGTGGGTCTCACACCAGGTCTCACGCACGTGCACAGAGGGTCTCACGCACGTGCACAGAGGGGCTCGGCCGCGCTCTGACCAATCAGAGCAGTTCATCAGAGCGGGAGTTAGAGCGAGAGCCAGACGAGCAGAGTTTGTGGCACTAAAGTGTGGATTTAAACAAAACCGAAGGATTTAAGAAGAAAAGAAGTTCAGGATGACAAGGGACACTAAAGTCCCCACAAAATCCTATCTTTATTAAAGCTGTAGGTTCTCTGTCAGGTTCTCTGTCAGCTGAGGTCGAGCTGTTTTAATATGCATTGAGTTCTATGGGGAAAATTTCTGGGTAGCCCACGTGAATTTAGTCTGGTTCAGTCTGGTTCAGTCTGGTTCAGTCTGCAGTACCGCGAGAATCCCCTGAGCACATGAGTTATTCAGCTACAAGCTAGTAATACCCTATCCAGTTATTATAATAGATCCATGCCTGAACCCAGTCCAGATGGTTTTGGGGCTGGACCATAGAGTGAAGGGGCCAACAAATGCAAAGCATCATGGGAACTCCTTCAAGACTGTTGGAGACCATTTCAGGTCCTGTTGAAGCTCGTCCAGAGAATGCCAAGAGTGAAGCAGTATCAGAGCAAAAGGAGCTGCTTTGAAGAACCAGAAAATAACACATGGCTTCACTTGGTTCATACTTTTTTTTTTTTTGTTCGTACATAATTCACATGAGTTCATTCATAGTTTTGAGGCCTTCAGTGTCGATCTACAATTTTCATAGTCATGAAAATAAAAAATTCTTTGAATAAGGTGTGTCCAAACTTGTGGTACTGTACATATATCCACACGTCTCTTTCAGAGAGATGTTCCCGTTCTTCCAGTCGGCTCCAGACGGATGGAAAAACACCATTCGTCACAATCTGTGTTTCAACCACGGTTTCAAGAAAACATTCGACCGACAGGTGAGATGATAACAATAACCATGATGATGATGATAATAACGATGATGATGATAATAATAAAGCGTTTTGTGCTACAGAAAGTTAAAAACACATCTTTCTCCCAAAGAGGCATAAAGTTTCTCAGGGCTGTTTGTCTTTGTCCATCTGTGGCTGTGGATGATGTTTCCCTAAACTGTGTGTCTACCACCATGTGGTCTGAGAGGGTCTGAGAGCGTCTGGGGGCCTGGTCCGGTCTGGTTCTGGTCTGGGGGTCTCGAGTTAAAGCTCAGATTGTGGTTCTCAGAGCTCCTCTGAGGGAAAGCGCACCTCCTGCTGCTGGTACCTGACGGCTGACGGACACCGCCGCCTCCGCGACGAGATGCTAATGCTAGCTCCAGACACGCTAACGCAGCTACAGCGCAGCACGGCTAACCCAGGTGACACTGCCCTCTACAGGTGACCCCACAGAACTGTTCAAACGAGACTAATGTCAGCTTCTGTTCCAGCTCTGATCCGGAGCCTGTTGTGTCTGAACCCCCCCTGTAACCCCCCCACCCCACACTTCTGAATAAAGTCACTGCACACAGGGGGCGCTGTTTATCAGTTTTTGTTTCAATGTTTAAATAAATATCCACTTTTTGATAGGGTTTGTTAAGGGCAAAGCATATAGAAGTATCAAGTGTCACATTGCAACAACCGCACCATAACCACAGCCGCAGTCACAGCCGCAGCCAAAGGAGCAGCCGCCATCTTGGAAAGAACGCATCACAAGTGTCACAGGAGGCTACAAGTTCAATTCAGAACGAGACGGGTCTACATTGGCTGAGCTGAAGTTGGATGGATGACACAGTGAACTTGTGTTTAGGATCTCAAAGACTACTTTAGGTTAGCAAGGCAGTGGGCTTTCTATCAAGAAATTGAAGCCGGAGCAAGAGGAATGTTTAGCAAATGTAATCGCTAGAAAAAATTGTGGCGCTGCTCCCCACGGGCTCTGTTAGCGGCAAAGGAGATGGCTAAAGCTAGGCTAATGCTTAATGCTAACTACTCACTCGGGCGCATTACATACGTCACGGTAAACTCAGATCCAATGGTTTCAATCTGCAAAAGAAGTTAACCCCTCCCACCTGTTCACGGAGTCAATGGAGCACATCCAGACCTTAGTACGAAATGTAATTTGTACTATGGTGTGGTACGACCAGGCTAGTATAGTATAGTATGGTACCAAACTATGGTAACAGTCTCTGGTTCAGTCCAAAATGATGAAAAGCGCCATCTAGCGGCTGTTGAGGTTAGGGTGAGTCTGAGGAGAGGGCAAGGGTGAGGTTAGGGGGAATGTAAGTGTAACCCATGTAATCCATGGTTACTAGTATAACATCGTCAAAAGCCCTTATTTCCAACGCCCCTTGAACGCACCACACACCTTTCCTACCTGACTTGAACACACCTTGGGCACACTCGGCCTGCGGTCTACAGTGTTGCCAACTTAGCGACTTTGTCGCTAGATTTAGCGACTTTTCAGACCCCTATAGCGACTTTTTTTCAAAAAAGCGACTAGCGACAAATCTAGCGACTTTTTCTGGTGTTATTGGCGACTTATCTGGTGTTTTGGCGACTTATCTGGTGTTTTGGAGACTCGTGAAGCACGTATTGTTCTGCTGTCCTCAACGTGAGCCCCTCCCCCGTCCCAAAGCACTTACAGGCGGCCAGTCTCACAGTAGCCTTGCGCAGCAGTCCCAGCTACAGTCTATGGGCGGAGCAGAGAGAGAGGAGACTCAAAAGCACAGGGAGTTTTCAGGCTGCTGCAGACTGAACTTCAGCTCCACCACCACCACACATCCAAAGCTCCCCGGCCACTCCTACCACCGCCACCCCCCACTACCCCCCACTCCATCCGCGGCAGCTCTGTCCGTGACTCTGTTTTCTCTCAGTAGTGGGTCACATTAAATCATTTGTTATGCCAAACTATGAAAAAAAAAAAAAACTTACAAAAATAAACCAAAGTAACTCTGCCAGAGTGTGTCTTTTGGGTCACTTTGCCGGTCCCAAGCCCGGATAAAGGAGGAGGGTTGGTTGTAGAGCTAGCAATTTCACCCTACATAACAATCTTTTGATTACATTTGCTGTTATAACATTTAACAATACAGGACAAAACTGATGTGTGTAATGTGGATCTAGACAAAGCATTAAAATCATTAAATGTTGTTAATGTTGAAATTATTTTTGTACATTTGTAGTTCTAAACATATTTAGGGTGTTTTTACTCACTTTTGTCTCTCCCACGACCTTATTCCTCTCTCCTACAGCGTCCGTTACAGTTATTTGCAAATGGCAAATTATGCAAATTAGGCGATGACGTCATTTAGCGACTTCTAGCGACTTTTGGGACAGCCAATAGCTACTTTCCTTACTGAGGAGTTGGCAACACTCTAGCTAGAGTCCGCAGTGAGACACGGAGAGCAGACGAGAGAGCTGCACAGTGAGTTAACAAGATGAAAGTGTATAAAATGTACTTTTTAAACAACTTCTAACTTAAGAATATGTACTTTGCAGTGCTTTAGAGTGTCTTGCTCAAAAATCAAACCGTGTGGAGTGTGGTTGTTTCTTGGAAAGTCTGGTGAGTTATTAGAATGTAATAAGCTACTGTAGCAGAACGCACTTTTGCTTTGCACGTGTTACGAGAATGCTAACAAGCTAAATAAGCTAAAACCAGTCAGAGTATTGAACCCTAAAAGGGTATTGTGCTATAATTCAATGCCTTATTTTATTTACATTTTTTTTCATGTGAAGCACTGTTTATGTTGAAAGTTTTATTGTTGAAATATGCACATTTATTGTACTATTTTATGCAATGCTAATTTAGCACATTGTCATTTCATTTAGAGGGAAATTCATAAGGGAGCTTTTGTTAATGATATGTTAAGTTAAAAAACAAGTGTAATGATATAATTTAAAAGCCTTAAAAAAGGGTGTAGACAAAATATTTGTTTGATGTAATGTTGTGTTACGGCCGGCTCAGGGCCACAACAAATAGGGAGACGAGACGGGGGTAAAAAGTGCACAAAGTATATTTAATAATAACAAAAAACGGATAACATGAACAAAAACCACAGTATGGGATGTGAGCATGTGTTAATCAGTAGTGTGGTGCAGGTGTGTGGGTGTAATGGAAGCCTGTGTGTGGTGTGCAGTGAATGTGGTGCGTAAAACAAAAACCAAGCTCAAATGTGCAAACGAAGGAAGAGCACCAGGGGAGGACCAAACAAGACAGCAGGGCCGGAGAGAGTGAGCCGCTCTCAGCTCCCAGCTGAAGAAGGTCCAGTGATGAGGAGGCGTGGCATGGTGCAGGGGTGTACCTGCACAGAAGAGGAGGCGGCAGAGAAGGCAGGCCAACACATACAGCACCCTCTCCTGGACACTAAGGGCCTGGCCCGTAACACCCCCTCCCTACAAGAAAGGGTCCCAACCGGGCCCTTCACAAACCCCAGAGTAAACTAAAATCGTACTCTTGGTAGCTCACAGGACGGTCCATCCATCGAGTAACTCTGCAACCCAAATTTTGGGAGAAACGTTAACTGTAGACGTGGCGTGAAGCAATGTACCTCCAGAACACAGTCGGCCCCGGGACCTGGGCTCTCCACCGTGCCGTCCCAGTGTCTCTTGCACGGTGGGCTGAAGCATCCCTGTTGTCACACCTAATGGGCACGCGAGAGCGCGTCTGCCACCACGTTGTCCCGGCCCCGGATGTGTTGAATGTCCAGGCTGTATGACTGGAGGAGCAGCGCCCAGCGCATCAACCTCTGGTTTGGTGACTGCAGACTGCTCAGGAAGGTCAGCGGGTTGTGATCTGTAAACACAGTTAGGGGTCCAGAACCCACATAGACCTCAAAGAACAGCAAGGCCCACAAGAGGGCCAACGTCTCCTTCTCGATCACAGAGTAGTGCACCTGGTGTCTGTTGAACTTTCTGGAAAAAAAACAGACTGGTCTCCTGATTCCCATCTCGTCTGCCTGCAACAAAACCGCTCCTGCTCCGACAAGGCTAGCGTCAACTTCAAGCTGAAACTGCCGATCCCACCTGGGCGCAGCTAGCACTGGCGCACTTGACACGAGGGCTTTAACCTTCTCAAAAGCCCGCTGACCCTGCTCCGACCAAATAAACTTCACAGAACCCCTTAACAGGTCTGTCAAGGGAGCCACGACAGACGATAAATTCTCACAAAAACAACGATAGTACCCCACCATACCCAAGAACCTCATTAGCTCTTTCTTTGTAGTAGGTGTCGGAAAATCATCAATTGCACGAATTTTAACGCGCACAGGTCTGACGGGGAATTTACACAGTAGGCGTAAACAGCGCGTACGCGTTAACTGCGTGCTCTCTGCGCGTAACATTTTTTTGGAGTATCTACACAGGCCGTGTGCGCGGGTCCGCGTCTTCTGAAGCTGTCCCTGTGTAGTCTATGAGAAGTGTAGAGGACAGTACGGGCCAGAGGACTGATGTAGAGCAACACAAATCACATCCATGTGTTTGTCCTCATGGTCTCTGTGCGCTGGTTTGGCCAGACGTGAGATTTTATGAAAGAAAAAAAACGATGTCCAGAATCACTGTAAAACCTGCTGCTCCTCCTGCTGATGTTTAGACACAAGTGCTGTGTGTGCGTAGATGCGATCTAGAGCCAAGGACCGCTAGAAAAATCATGTTTTACATGAGATTTCAATGGGAGGCGCGTTGGTGCGCGCACAAAATTAGAAATCCATCCTAAATTAGAGCGCAGCTTCGCGTCATACGTCCGTCATACGCGCGTATAACGCTAGAAGTGTAAATATCATCATAGGTTAACATGGAAAAAAGTTACGCGCGTCTGCTGCGCGTATAACGCGTACGTGCTGTAACGCGTGATGTGTAAATTAGCAGTGACACTGCCCTGGCCCACCACACAACCCAAGTACACGACTGTTGCCTTGGCAAACTCGCACTTAGCCAGGTTCACCGTCAGCTTGGCATGGGCCAGCCGTTCAAATACAGCCTTCAGACGACAGAGATGGTCTTCCCAGCCATTAGCGTATAAAACCAGGTCATCCAGGTAAACCGCACAACCCTCCAGACCCCGAACCACCAAGTTCATCAAGCGCTGGAATGTTGCAGGCGCATTCCTGAGGCCAAAAGGCATAACGTTATATGAATACAAGCCATTTGGTGTAATAAAGGAGGAGATCTGCCTTGCCCTCCTGGTCAGTGGAACTTGCCAATACCCTTTTAGCAAGTCTAGTTTAGTAACAAAGCTCGCCCCCCCCCACCTGGTCCACGCAGTCCTCCATACGAGGCAGCGGAAAGGAGTCAGGCCTAGTCACAGCATTGACCTTCCGGAAGTCACTACAAAACCGTGGCGTTTTATCAGCCTTTGGCACCAACAGACAGGGAGAAGCCCAGCTAGAATCAGAAGGGGAAGCAATATCATTATCCAACATATACTGCACCTCCCTATCCAGCATTTCATTTATTTCATTGAACCAAAACAATGTAAATTCACCATTTCATTGATTTAGAAACATATATGAGATCTCATTTGACTAGATATTACCATTTTATTAATTGTTCTGTACTGTATGTGCAGACTGTTTTTTTTAGTGGTGCTGGAAACGGATCTTGGAGTTGAACACTGAAGTTGATGGCGAGCCAGACCCAGTGAACTCACCTCTAGACTCTGGAACAGTGTGGCCAGCTGTTCTGGTTTCTGGATAAAGACCCGACCACTTCAAATCTTTTGGATCCCAGATAAGAACACCAAATACATATTCGAACGGACAACAAGTTGCGAAAGACCGCTTTCACACTGAACTTTCCTGTATATCGGGACTAGAGACAATCAAACTATTTTTTTATTTTGTTTTTCTAAAAGAGCGCTACATGTTATTTTTGTTTTGATTTAAGTGCAATTGTTAAATTGTAATAAATCTGCCGGCTGTTCAACTTTAATTCTTTCTCCTTCCTACTCCTCTAGAACCTAGTCTGAAATCCCTAACTTAATTATATTAAGCAGGTGTTACATAAGGGTGAAATGGGGCTCAGCGTAAGGGTGAGGTGGGGGTTAACATAAGGGTGAGGTGGGGGTTAGCGTAAGGGTGAGGTGGGGGTTAGCGTAAGGGTGAGGTGGGGCTCAGCGTAAGGGTGAGGTGGGGGTTAGCGTAAGGGTGAGGTGGGGCTCAGCGTAAGGGTGAGGTGGGGGTTAGCGTAAGGGTGAGGTGGGGCTCAGCGTAAGGGTGAGGTGGGGGTTAGCGTAAGGGTGAGGTGGGGCTCAGCGTAAGGGTGAGGTGGGGGTTAGCGTAAGGGTGAGGTGGGGCTCAGCGTAAGGGTGAGGTGGGGGTTAGCGTAAGGGTGAGGTGGGGCTCAGCGTAAGGGTGAGGTGGGGGTTAACATAAGGGTGAGGTGGGGTCAGCGTAAGGGTGAGGTGGGGGTTAACATAAGGGTGAGGTGGGGTCAGCGTAAGGGTGAGGTGGGGTCAGCGTAAGGGTGAGGTGGGGCTTAGGAGGAGGTGGGGGGTCAGCGTAAGGGTGAGGTGGGGTCAGCGTAAGGGTGAGGTGGGGCTTAGGGGGAGGTGGGGGTCAGCGTAAGGATGAGGTGGGGGTTAGTGTAATAATAATAATAAATCAAACTTGTATAGCGCTTTTTTGGACACTCAAAGAGGCTTCACATGGGGAGTAGAATACAATAATAAAAAGGGGTTTACGGAAAAGCTTGTTTGAAAAGATGGGTTTTTAGACTGATTTAAAGTTTGGTAGTGAGTCAGAGTTTTTAATGGGCAGCGGGAGTGAGTTTATTTAGCCAGTGGAGCTGCTGGAGGACAGGGGTGATGTGTTCTCTGGACCGGGTGTGGGTGAGGAGGCGGGCTGCAGAGTTTTGGATGTATTGCAGCTTTTGGGGATGAGAGGTGGGGAGGCCGTAGAGGAGACTATTACAGTAGTCGAGTCTGGAGGTGATGAATGCGTGGATGAGGATTTAGGCTGTTGACTGGGTAAGGGAGGGGCGGAGGGCGGGCAATGTTGCTGAGGTGGAAGAAAGAGGTTTTGGTGGTGTTTGATGTGTGTTTGGTATGAGAGGGCGGAGTCCATTATGATGCCGAGGTTGCGTACAGAGGGTGAGGGGGTGACAGTGTGACCGTCAATGAGGAGGGTAAAGTTCTGGACAGAGGGCAGGAGAGATTTGGGGCTGATGATGAGGAGTTCTGTTTTGTTACTGTTGAGTTTGAGAAGGTTATTGTCCATCCAGGTTTTAATGTCAGAGATGCAATTTTTGATGGTGGAGCGAATGACCGGGGTGATGGATTTGGTGGAGACGCAGAGTTGCGTGTTGTCGGCATAACAGTGGAAATGGAGTCCATGACGGCGGATGATCTGACCGAGAGGAAGCATGTAGATGGTGAAGAGGAGAGGGCCGAGCACGGAACCTTGGGGGACACCGTGGGTGACGGGGGAAGTGTGGGACTTGCAATTGTTGACAGACACGAAGTGGAGACGATTGGAGAGGTAAGAGGTGAACCAGAGGAGTGCTGTGCCAGAAATGCCAATGGATTGTAGACGGTGGAGGAGGATGGAATGGTCTATTGTGTCATATGCAGCGGAGAGGTCGAGGAGGATGGAGTCGGCAGCGAGGAGGAGGTCGTTTAAGAAGTGCTGTTTCTGTGCTGTGGTGTGAACGGAATCCAGATTGAAATGTTTCGAAGAGATGGGAGGAGCGGAGATGTTGGTGGAGTTGGTTGATGACGGCGCGTTCCAGGATTTTTGACAGTAACGGGAGGTTGCAGATGGGTCGAAAGTTGTCCAAGTTGTCAGGGTTGAGGCCGGGTTTTTTCAGGAGGGGTCTGATGGAAGCTAGTTTGAGCGAGGAAGGGACAGAACCAGAGGTTAGGGAAGTGTTGATGATGCCGGTGATGAGAGGGATGAGAGTTGGTCGACAGGTTTTGAGGAGGGAAGATGGGATTGGGTCAAGCTGGCAGTTGGAAAATTTAATGGTTGAGAGAAGTTTGGTGGTGTCAGAGGGAGAGAGGGGGGAGAAGGAGGGAAGGCTATGGACTGTGAGTGCAGTGGGTTCAAGTTCGGAGTAGGGAGAAGAGGAGGAAGTGGATGCAAGTGAACAGTGTATGGTATGGATTTTGGTATGGTAGAATAACAGGTAGTTATTGCATTTGTCTGTAGTGAAAGTGGAGGTTATATTGTCCTTGGGTTTTGTCAGATTTGAGAATAGGGTGCGGGGGTTGGAAGAATTTGAGTGGATGAGTTGTGAATAGTAGTTGGACCGGGCAGTTTTGAGAGCAGAGTTGTATGTGGTTGTGGCATGTTTGTAGGCTTGGGCATGAACGATGAGACCAGTTTTTATATGGAGCCTTTCGAGTTGTCTCTTTTGTTTTTTGAGATTGTGGAGATCTGGGGTATACCAAGGGGCGGAGGTGGGGAAGGAGACTGAGGCAGTTTTCATGGGGGCAATTTGGTTGAGGCAGGAGGAGAGTGTGAGGTTATAGAAAGTGACTAGATCGGAGGCAGATGGATCTGAAGGAAGGGAAGAGCTGGATAGAGCATGGGATATGGAGGAGGAGAGGGATATGGGACAAATGGACTTCAGATTTCGGAAAGTAATTGTTCGTGTCTGTTTGGTGGTGGGAGAGGGGGTAATGATGTCCAGGGGGATGGCCAGATGATCAGAAATAGTCGGGTCGGTGAGTGAACGGTTGTGTATGGTGAGGGAGAGGGTGGAACAGACCAGGTCCAGGATGTGTCCATGGTTGTGTGTGGGTGAAGTGACGTGCTGGGTGAGGTTGAGGCAGTTTAAAATGTCCAAAAAGTCAGATGTAAATTTAACTGTAGGGGAGTCAATATGAATGTTGAAGTCACCAAGGAGGAGAACAGATGGAGAAATGGAGGACAGCTGAGTTACAAAGTCAGTAAAATCTGAGAGAAATGATGAGCAGGTTTTGGGAGGGCGGCAGATGACTGCAGCAATGAGTGATTGGGAACCAGGAAGTCTGAAAGCCAAGTGTTCGAATGAAGATACAGCCGGGATGGAGATGGGGCGGAGGGAGATGTTGCTGCGGTGGATGACTGCAATGCCACCTCCTCGCCGGTCTGGGCGCGGGTTATCGATGTAGGAATATCCAGGTGGGGTGGTCTGATTTAATGTGGTGTATTCCATGGGTTTGTGCCAGGTTTCAGTGAGACAAAGTATGTCCAGTTTATTGTCAAGGATGAATTCACAGAGGAGCAGGCTTCTATTGCTGAGTGACCGTGTATTGAATAGTGCTGTTTTTAGAGGCTTTTGTTGTGAAGTCCGTGTGGCACAAATCGGGACAGACAGAAGGTTTGATGTAGTCACGTGATGAGTGCTCGGATGACGTATGCGAATGTTGTTGGAACCAAGCCGGTGTGAGCTGCGCATGGATCTGCAGGCGGACCAGACAGGGGGAATATTGCTTTTGCCTGTGAAATTGAAGACAAGATTGCGACGGGACCCTCGGTGGATGTAGGGGTGAGGTGGGGGTTTGTGTAAGGATGAGATGGGGTTAACGTAAGTGTGAGGTGGGGTCAGCGTAGGGGGAGATGGGGGTTAGTGTAGGGGGGAGGTGGGGGTTAGCGTAAGGGTGTGTTGTTTATGACTTTATAAACGTGTAAATGTGGCCACAGCTTTGACTTAAAAAATAAAACGACTCAAACATTTCCGATCTTTATTTTGCACATGCATGATTCAGAAAGGTCACAGTGACATCACTTCCTGTGGCGTCATTGTGCGGTGACATCACTTCCTGCGACGAGAGGCGGCGCCCTTTTTGCTGCTGCAGAAATCAGAAACAAAACAAACGTCAAACCATTTGGAGCCTGCAAGAGAGAGACCAGAGAGAGAGACCAGAGAGAGAGACCAGAGAGAGAGACCAGAGAGCGAGACCAGAGAGAGAGACCAGAGAGAGAGACCAGAGAGAGAGACCAGAGAGCGAGACCAGAGAGCGAGACCAGAGAGCGAGACCAGAGAGAGAGACCAGAGAGCGAGACCAGAGAGAGAGACCAGAGACAGAAGGGTCAGGAGTCGTACTGTTTCTGCAGCTCGTCGATGCGGTTCCTCAGGGAGATGACCTCGTACTTCTGCCTCGTTAAGCGCTCGTTATAGTCGTACTTAATTGCCTCAAGACTGTGAAGCCACGCCCACAGCTCCTGGGCCTTCTCCCTGAAACACGACACAAGGGTTACCATGACAACGGAGGGAGCTCTGCATAGAGCCGCCACACCCACAGATCGAGAGCTGACATTACCTCAGTTTGTCTTCGCTCAGGTCCCGGACGCTCAGAGGTTGGCATCTTTCAGAGAGAATCTTCTTCTTCTTCTCTTTCTCCGTTGGACGCTTCTTCCCACGCTTCCCCTCCACCTGCAGCACAGGCCACCTGCGGTCAGCTATGGCCTTGGACTCAAGCTTTGAAACCACTTCTACTACTGCCTCGGTTGGTCTGGGCCTGGTTTGGGCCTGGTCCTGGTAAAATCTCTCCTGGTAACTCTGGTAAGTGTGAGAAGTCAGATTCTAGTCGTAGTTTAGAGATAATTTCTCTGCACTTCCTGACACAAGCCACATGAAAAAATAGAAAGACCAGAGCGGCTTTGTGAATCTACATCACCCCTTGTTTCATTTTTGTAATGATTGTCCTGAGTCTGGTCCCTGACATTTGCGGATGTATTCCAATGTGGTTTTACTGCAAATGGAAAATAAACTCAATCTGAATCTGATCACAATGAAATGAAGATCTGAGAAAACGACATGTTCTTTCCCACGAGTCTCTGCTCCTGCTCAAATATTTAATACACTTTCTCCACTTTAGCGCTAGTATTGGTCGTAGCGGTGGTAGCAGTGGCGGTAGTATTAGCAGTGGTAGTATTAGCAGTGGTAGTATTAGCGGCGGTAGTATTAGCGGCGGTAGTATTAGCAGTGGTAGTATTAGCAGTGGTAGTATTAGCAGTGGTAGTATTAGCAGTGGTAGTATTAGCATTGGTAGTATTAGCGGCGGTAGCGTTAGCGGTGGTAGTATTAGCGGCGGTAGCGTTAGCGGTGGTAGCGTTAGCGGTGGTAGCATTAGCGGCGGTAGCATTAGCGGCGGTAGCGTTAGCGGTGGTAGTATTAGCGGCGGTAGCGTTACCCGCTGCAGGTGGGAGCTGTATCCGGAGCCCATGTTGGTCAGAGCGATCTTC